CATTTGCTGTGATACATTTGAGATACAGTAAATTGAACAGTTATTGCCATTCAGGAGCTCCCAGTCAAATAAGAGATGGAGATAAACAAATGTATCACAGTGGGACAAATGCCTACATGAACAAAGCTAGGAAGGCATACCTGATATCTGCAGTCTCCCACCATTCCACACTCAGCTTCAGGAGCTCAGAGAAGGTTAATATTTAAGTCTGGAACAATAAGTAGGGATTTGGACCAATGGGAGGCAGGTCAGATGAAGGAGGGAGGGCATTCGAGGCAAGGTAAAGGGCTTTGCAAAAAAACCTGTAGGACATTGCATATTTTGACAATGGCAAACGATTTAATGTGCCCAAAGCATATTTTATACAGGTGTAGCAAGAAGTGAGGTTAGAGAAGAAGCAATAGGGAGACTATGAAAAACCTGACACGTCACATGAAAGAGTGTGAACTTTAGGCTGTATGCCATGGCAAGGTCTATAGGCATGAGAGTAAAATGATGATGTTTAGACTGAAGTCAAGAGACTTTTATGATGGGAAATGGAAAGCGTTTGATGGCTGACAGGAGATAATTGGTAGAGAGAAGGAGGTAGTGGAGAGTCTAGGATGACTGGACTTCTGGTTGAATGGTTGTACCATTTATCTGAATAAAAGAATATATAGGGAGGAACAGGTTTGGGGTACCTGAGGGGCATGCAGATAATATCTTAATAAGTAGCATGTGGATCTATATGGATCAGAAACTGAGAACTTTAGGCAAATCACGAATCTTCCTGAGCCCCCATTTTTCTATCTATAAAATGAAAATAACACCTGCACTTTCTACTTGACAGATTGCTAGAAAATATTAAATAATGGATATAGTTTTTAAACAAGAAATTCCTTTAAAAATGTAGGAAATTACTTTTTAAAAGTCACATTCAACTCCTGACCAACCTTCTGCTAGTCCCCAAATTCTTTGAACCATCCAGATCAACATCCCTCCTGTCTCCCATCATACCATGCTCATTCCCAATTTCAAAACCTCATTCATGCTGTTCCTAATGGAATGTCCTTCCCTTTTCCCAGTCTACCATTTACTGATCCCCTGGAGGTCAGTTCAAGTCTCGTTTCTTTGATCTTTGGAGATAACATTAACTGCCCATTTAAGCACTTACTATCTGTCCATGTGTCTGGTGGGAGAGTCCCTTTTAAATTGACTTTCCTTTTTTATTAATTTACTTAATAGATAATATATTCATATTGTTTAAAATTCAAAAGCTACAGAAGAGTGTATAATAAAAAAAGTCTCTTTTTAAAGACTTTATTTATTTATTTGAGGGAGACAGAGCACATAAGTGGGGGGAGGGCGGTGCATGGGGGAAAGGAGAAACAGGCTCCCTGCTCAGCAGGGAGCCCAACTCGGGGTTCCATCCAGGACCCAGAGATCATGACCTGAGCTGAAGGCTGACGCCCAACTGACTGAGCCACCCAGGCATCCCAAAAAAGTCTCTTTCTTATGCTTCTTCCTTAAGGACCCAGTTTTCTTCTCCCTTAGTCAATTAATATCATCAGTTTTTTGTGACCCTTTCCCAGACAAGCAAATTAAATCACTGGCTTTCAAGTCATAGTGTGGTGGCTCAGGTGACAACAGAGGCCACAGAGAAAGAGTCCAAGCAGTTGAGTTTCTTCAACTTCCAAAACAGCTGCACCTCTTACACCTGTTTTACACATAAGGCTAAAAATTTTGCTAACATGTTAGTGAAGGAGGGGTTCTATCCCTAAGTTTTAAAATCACTAACCTATATCACTCATTTTGTAACTTAATCATGTACTATATGGCATTGTTATTATTGCATATAGCTGTTAGGCCAAAAAAATTATGCAGAATAAATCTGGGAAATGATGATTTAAACACAGTTACTACAGACTATGTGTGTGACAGGATAATGAATGTAGACTTAAACAATATCATGAATTCCTGTCCCACCCCCCCCAACCCAAGAAAGTAGCAGGCCATTCATGTGTTCCTGCTTCAGATGGCTTCTGTGTGACTGCCCATCCCTAGCATGCTCTGCTTTCCTAAAACCTGAGCTCTGAGAAATTATGCTGGCATGGGAGAGAGATAATAAGAGGGAAGCTATGGGCAGAGAAAGAGAAATAAAGGAGTCAAGATTCCACATGCCTGGGGAAGAGCTGGGCATTAGCTTTTTTATTTAAAATAAGGTAATACCACATTTGGCATTCCCATTGCTTCTGGGAGGTGGCTAAAACTCTAGGAATAAACTTGGTGGCACCTGTGGAGGAGACAGGACTCAAAGCACTAGGGATATCGGGACAGTGACTCTAACAAAAATTCCCATTCCCTTTATGTGGCCCACCAGCCACAGAGTTCTCAAGGGATGAACCTTGAGAGATCAATTACATGGGCTAGGACAAAGAACTTCCTCTGAATGAAGCTGCACAGAGGTGGGGATCTCTGGTATGTTAGCACTACTTATGCTTTGTGGACCTCTGTATAACCCAAAGGAGGGAAATCTCCAATAATGAACAGAACTTCAACTGTTTACCAGCTCAGTACATAAGGGTTTTGGAATCACATCAAATTGGGTTTGAACTTTTCTCCACGTATCACTAACAGTATGTCCTTGGGGAAGTAACCACTTCTGAGACAAATTCTTCATCTATTAAACAGTGATAATATTCATAGGACTTGTATAAGATTTTAGTTGGTATAAACATTAAACATATAAAATGTTTACAATATTTTAGTCATACTAGTCAATCAGTAAATGGCAGCAATTTTAATCTCATTCAATAATTACTTATTGAGGTCCAATTATGTTATCTGAGATCCTTCTGTTAGGTCCTATATACATAATGGCAAAAATAGATAAATTAATAAAACAGACGTGTTCTAAAATAGCTTACAGCTTAACAGACTTAAAAACTATCCAGAAGCAAGCTAAATGAAGAAAATCTCCTTTTTCTTTCCCCCAAGATCTCAAAGATAATTAGATCCAAAACTGGAGAATAACTTAGTAATCATGCTGAGTGATATTCTTTTTAATCACACTCAGTTAAGACACTAAAGTAACAAAACAAATTTCCTAGAATGGATCATTATATGAATTTTTAAAAATATTTTTCAGCAACCTCAACATCATTAGAATAAATATAGATTCCCAAGTTGAATACATTGACAATAGTCACTGAAATGTTTATACTCTTGCATATTTAATTAAAAAGAGGTCTCAATCATTCATAACCTTCTGACTAGTGGCTTGTGTGTAGAAACTACAGCAATGGAAGTTAAGTCAGTAATGCTCATGGAATGCCATATGCATACATATACTTTATTGTCTTGTCTATACATTGATATAGATCACCAACTATGAATGAATAATGGGGACAGAGATCACTCAGCACTCCATAAAAAATACCTTATTTTTTTGATCATCCCATTTAAGTAATCTGATTCCATTAAAAGTTGGTTTGAAGGAGCTTCTGCTGGCCATCTCAATTTGAGCACCAAACCAATTAGTGATAGTAATTTATTATAACCCATTGAATAAAACAGGAATCCATTAGTTCATACTGATGTAAATAATTTAAAAAAGACAAAAAATTTAACAAATATAATAATTGATTCTGGCCAAAGCCATCAATGAATGCTAAACCTAGTGTTAAAAAGCTTGATGAGAAAGAGGATATATATATATATACACACACACACACACACACACACACACACACATACAGTTTTGAACTATCCCCCCACCCCCATGGGGCACCTAGGTGGTTCAGTCGGTTAAGCATCTGTGTTCTGAGAGCATCACTGTGATTTTAAAGCTAGCTATAAGAGAGATCCAACAGTTACAAAAAGTTCATGGCAGAATTATTGTTTGAATACTTAATTTCACTAAATCTAAAATAGTAGGCTCTTCCTCCAAGCAGTTTCTGTACTTTATCAACATGTTTTAAAGTTGTTTTTGTTTTTTTTTTTTAAGAATTTATTCATTTATTTGACAGAGAGGACAAAGCAAGAAAAGGAACACAAGCAGGGGGAGTGGGAGAGGGAGAAGCAGGCTTCCCGCCGAGCAGGGAGCCCAATGTGGGGCTGGATCGCAGGACCCGGGGATCATGACTTGAGCCGAAGGCAGATGATTAACAATTGAGCCACCCAGGTGCCCCTTACAGTTTTTTCACTAAAGGTAAATACTTATCGTTTACTTATCTACTTATTTTTATCTTTTCCTCTCTCTATCTTCTAATTTCACTTAGATGCAACTAATCAGGAACAAATGAAAAACAAACTTAAGCTATTATAGTCGAAAATAGTAACAAACCAAAAAACAAATGAAGTAGGCCACCGATTAGAAACTTTCTCATTTTGTACCAAAAAAATTTTTTTTCTTAATATCCTAAAACTCTTAGCTGAAGTGTAAGTTGGCATGATACCATATACTTCTACAAGACTATCAGTGGATAGAGATGGTTGTGGTATACCACATTTCTTAAGGCAAATCTTCAAAATATCCCAACAGCCAATAACAGACAATGGTAAGAGTGAAATCACCTTATTTTTATATTTTGTTGAATTAATTTTGGCCACTTTAATTCAATTAATGTTTATTGACTATGTTATGAAACAGGGATAATCTAAATGTTGATGGTCCAAAAATGAACAAGCTACTGTGCCTACCCTGAAACAGTTCAACATCTAGAACCTGGAGGAAATCATTGATAAATAAGTGCATATAAATGCATACACTGTGAAAGTTACTTTAACAAAAAGAAAATGTCTGGTGTAGTCTGGGTACAAAGAAATGAGTCATCAATTCTCCATGGAAAATCAGAAAAGGCTTCTCAGAAGAAGTCTCATTCTAAAATTTAAGCCCAATTTTGTTCTTACGTAAATACTTATACCAGTAACTCCCAAGCTGCATGTAAATATGACTGCAGTTAAGTTACAGCATACTGTATAATTCAAATGCTAACATACATAAATTTTATAATATTTACCTTTACAATTAGTTGATACTCTTGTCTCCCTGAGTAACTTCTCCACCATTTTTGAATAATAGTTGCTACTCTATGTAAATTCCTGGGTAAAAAATATATTTATTAGTAAGCTTTCTTGAACGAGATTATTGCTCAAGTTTTTTCTTAGACTGTATTTTCTACAATTCAAGAACTCAAATTCAAAGCCAAATTTTTGTGTACTTTTAAAGGGCAGAGCTATCATTCTGCAATAGAATTAACCATTTCTAGAGGTAGAAAAAGGGGCAGAAATATTCAGTATTCCTTTTGGGCTTATGATTAAACATCCCTAAATTTCAAATATTCTTCAATACTAACTCTTGGAAATATTTTTGAATGTTAAGATTATAAAACAGGTCAAAGGAACACATTGAAAAATAAGCTAGGCAATATTGATGCGAATCACCATTAAGTACTTAGAAATAATTCTTGAGGTCAAGAAACACTTTCTCTTTCATGCTTATATTTCCCAGTCTACCCAAGCTAATGACATGTTAATCTGCTGAATTAAAAAAAATACTCTCTTTGCTGCCATATTCCTAGTTGGTTAGGGGCCAGAAGAGAAACCTCATCTTCCCACTTGGATCTGCAAGTCTGGCTCCCACGAGCTAACAGAAGAACTATACAGTATAATCCCCAGTTCACCATCTGAATGAGTTATTATGTGATAGGCATTTTCCTCCTCCACCTTATCCAGGGCAATTCTTTTCGGAATTGCGAGAGACTGAAGGAAAGTTTGAGCACTGAAGAAAAAGAACAATTAAGATAGGGAGATCAGCTTCAGTCTCTTTATGATCAGGATGGGCAGCATTCTGGTATCATTTGCCCTTATCTATCAACACGCTGGAGAAGACTGGAATAGCTTTCTTTTTGTTTTATTTTGTTTTGTTTTTCCTTTCTTATCATTCATTGCTATTAATAAAGTCCAGTCATTTGTCACATCCTATGGAATTTGAAGAAAAGAATCTAATCAAGTATATTTTTAAAAATTAGAGATATGGTTGATATAGTTTTTCGATATGTAAGAAAAGACCAAAAGAGTTATTTCTTTAAAAAGGACGTCATATAATTTATTAACTACATTATAGGTAAAATAAAAGATTATTTGCAATCAGCACTTACATGAATAAATTACATTTTCTAAGGAGTATATTTTTATGGTGTATCTGATGTTTCCATGACAAAATCATATACCTGATATATGCCCGAACTTGACATCCTCGAAACCAGCTCTGGATTTTAACTGCTGCATCATACTCCTTTTTCCTAAATATATCTACAACACTAAAAAGAAATTTTTTAAAGCATTTCATTAGTGGCTAATATAATTCTAAAGCAAATCAACCTGTTAAAACTTAACCTTTAATTTCTTCCAAAATGATAATTATAATTCAAATGTCATTTTAAATAAAATAAAAATACTAAATAAAGCATTTCAGAAATCATGAGCTATATTTTTAAAATTAACCTTTCTCTGAGAGGCCCTGTGCTTTCAACAGCTTTACTTTTTTTTATTTTTATAATCACCTATTTTGCAACTAATTAATTTACCAGTGATTCTTACAAGGAAATAGAGCAAAATGCATTTTTTTCATTATTTTAAAAACATAATTACTTGAATTTACTATTTGAATGCCACTACACATATCATGCAAGATTAAAATACTTGCATCAGTTAAATGAACTGCCTCTAAGTAAAATGAATTCTCAGAAACTCCATTTAAGTTAAAGCAGGGGCAGGGCCATAGGCTTGTAAAAAGACAAGAAATTCAGTTGTTAGGTTTTACGGACTTACAGCAAAAAAAGGGCTAGTCAAGACAGATCTCCATTTTAATTTTACCAGTCATTACAATTCTCCCTCCCCATCCGTGTTTGATAAAGTGATATTGCTTAAGGCAACTACTATGCACTACAAAGTAATTTCTTTCCTAGAATGCTGGTTGGCACCTAATTAGCACTTTATGTTTGCTGAATGAATAAAGAATGGCTAACCATTTATTTCTTAATTTTTTTTTAATTCCCTCAAAATAGTGTTTCCTTGGACAGGTTATTTTTTTGTTGTCATTATATGCTAGATTAAATATACAGATTTCATTAAATTTATATATATAATTAGAACAAAAACAGAAGGGGGAAAAACCCTCAAACAATAAAATTCTTAAACAATACTATGAAGTTGGCTAAGAGAAAGAAAATAGGATGAGCAGTTAAGCTGTCAGTGGCAAAAAGCTGGAGAAACAAGTGGAAGGATTTTGGTCCTAGATAAGCAGGAAAGAGAGTTACCTGAAAGCCTGACTCTAAAGGACTCACAAAAGCAAAAAGAAAAACAAAAATTATACATCAGTCAGTGATCCAGATGTGAAGAGTAGTGGAGAAAACTCACACAAATCAGTAAGGTTAAGAGGACACTCTAGACAATTAGGAAAAGAAAAGAAAATTCGATTATCACTCTATGTTTGTCCTACGCATACAAAATTATAACAGAGACATGTATAAACTATATTCTTGGTTCAAACGATTGTACTCCAAATGGTAGAGAGAACAGCTTGAAGTCCTTCACTCCACCGAGCCTTCCCTAACTCCCCAGACCACAGTAGGGCTTGCCATTGTACACCCTCTTAGCTCTTCACAATGTTTAACACAGTCATGCATCATGATTGTTTGGTGATGGTCTTTCCACTAAACTTTAAAATCCAAAAATCAGCAATATTATCCATTTTGTCCCACATGCATTCCCAGTGGCTCCAGAAGTAACTGATTCTTCTCCTAACAGTCTTTGTCTTACCAAAGCTGCTTTCTCTTGGGGAATGGCATGCCTCTTATAGACATATTTAATCCCTGTGAAGACTGCCACTCAGAAGCTTCCCTCACTATACCTACTGACAACATTAAAATATTATCTCCATTTGACAGAGGAAGATATTAAGGGAGACAGAAGTGTAGGGATTTGTCCAAGGTCACATCTTAATAAATGTCAGAGCTGAAATTTGATCCTAGATACTCTGGCTCCAAAAGCTGGATTCCAAACCATCACTGCACCTAAAGAAGAAGAGAGGAAGGAAGGATAAAAACAGGAGATGGGAGGAAAGTAAAAGGGGGGGGGGAAGGGGGGGAAGAAAGGAAAAAAATTAAAAGGAAGACTGCATGTAAGCCATTTTCAAATATAATACTAAAATTCTGTCATAAAAGAGCACAAATCTCCTTAAAACAATAAACTGAGACTAAGATGTGAAAAGACATCAACATCTATAGTAAAAAACCAAAAATTTCAGATATACCAAGTATGGGTGAGAATGTAGTGCAATAGGAACTCATAATATTGCTAGTAAGAAATAATTCTGCGTTTAAACACATACAGAAAATTTTCATTTATATAAATGAAAACTCACAAAACTTTAGGACGTTAAATAAGGAAAGAAAAAAGAAGGCCCAATTATAAGAGACAGTATTTTGCAGTGTCATAGAAGTTAATGGGAAGGTAGCAGGAAGGGAGACCATGGTTGAGCAGTACCAAATGCTCTGAAGAAGTCATGAAGACAAGGTCAATGTTTCAAGGAGTTGCAGGGTTAGAGGGAATCTTTTGTTTTTCTTTTAAAATCTTACCCTAGAGAATAAAAAGATATGATTGTGCAAGATATAAAATGTCATTATAGCAAAAACAGAAAAGATACAGTAACACAATATCCAGTAGATCAGGCAATTCAAAGATGACAGAGTGTGAAGAAGGAAAGAATAATTTTATTCAATAAGGCTGATGTGAAGTAAAATTCATGATAATGAGATAAAACAGCTTTTGATGAGTATTTAACCTAACGTTTAATATGATTATAGATCTGTTTCCTTTGTTTTTAATATACTCTATTTAAATTACTGAAAACGCTTGTCTTTCCTACCCCACCAACAGTCAACAAGTGACTACCTTTCAAAACAGGGAGGGGCGCCTGAGTGGCTCAGCAGATTAAGCATCTGCCTTCAGCCTCCATAGGGCTCCCTGCTCAGCGGGGAGTCTGCTTCTCCCTCTGCCCCTCCCCCTGCTCCTGTTCCTTCTCTATAAAATAAATAAATAAATAGGTAAAATCTTTAAAAAAAAAAAAGGAAGAAAAAATATTCAAATAAGATATACAGATACACCTAATTCTTTTAAACTAATGTGTAGCTTGAACCTACACTTTACTTATTACTGTCATTAGAAATGCAGAATAAGCAATCAAATTATCTGTCTTGACTTTGTTTTCTAACTTCTCCTGGTAATAATGCTAACATGTAATACATAGTCAAGAAGAAGATTATCTCTTTTTGGAGCTATGAACACCAATGTATATAAATATAAGCACAGATATAATAATAAGAACTATACATCTTGGGGAGCTTGGGGGGCTCAGTGGTTAAGCGGCTGCCTTCGGCTCAGGTCATGATCCCAGGATCCTGGGATTGAGCCCCGCATCGGGCTCCCTGCTCCACGGAAAGCCTGCTTCTCCCTCTCCCACTCCCTCTGCTTGTGTTCCTCCTCTCGCTATCTCTCTCTCTGTCAAATAAATAAATAAAATCTTTTTTAAAAAAAAGAATTATACACCTTAATTAATGGGAAATGTTTTAAAAATAACTAGTAGTTAACTTACTGCTAAGTTTTAATTTATATGCTGTAATTCGACTCCCATACACATTTCTCTATTGCCCTGTTTTTAACTGCTTAAAAATGAAATTTACAGATACGTGGGTTACCACTGGGATGCTGAATACTCATACAATATGTCATGAACTGCTAGACTTTTTATGTTTAAAATGAAAAATGTGGGTAACACTTTATTTTAATGGTATATTAATTAGTTCCAAATTACAATGAAAATCCTATAGCAGTGAATAAAATATGACATCTACATGAATTTGAAATAAATTTATTATGATCAGTATTATCACAATGAATACTAAATGAATTAATAATGATGAAAGACCAAAAGTATTACCATGAATGTAATAAAACATCGAAAAAAGCTGGAAGTTCGTAGTCACTTCATCATCAACTAGAAATAAGTACTATAACCCTGGATAACACTATATTCATGTGTATCATTAGTGGCTGGAAATTAATTGACAATAAATATAAAATGAAAAAATGTGTAGTTAAAGATCTTTCCAGTAATGTGCAAAAAATACACATTTTACACATCAACATACTGTTTAGTCTGACCTATGTGTACTAGCTATTGAATAAAAACTAGATTAAAAAGCCAATCATCTTTGCTTCTCATTTTCATATGACTTTTAACTACTTTAGATACTAGGAATAAAATTCCAATATTGGCTGCCCTATATTATAAAATATATTAATGTGCTATTATAAAGTATACTGATGTGTAAAATGTTTTTACTTATCACTTCACTAGTAGGGCTCAAGGATGTCAAGCTTCTTAAAGACAGAAATTATGTTTAATCTATACTTGGCGTTTTAATTATCACCCATGTGCCTAATAAGAGGTCAATAACTAGTTGAAAAATAGAACTACATTTTGGAATCTAGAACCCATGTTTTGTTTTCATTAATAGTCCTCATTATTATTATTATTTCACAGCTCAATGAACAATGAGTTATAAATACATATGTATTAGATCATAAAGTAGGAATTGACATGAAGATTTATAATGTATTTGCAAAATGTTTGATTATTTACTTTTCTATATCTTCTTTCTACCTTCTCTTCATTTACTGAACAACTAAGTCCTAAGGATACCTTCTCTTCATTTACTGAACAACTAAGTCCTAAGGAAATTGGCAGTGGGCAAGGAAACCAGGAATCTGTGCAAGAGGGTTGGGAGAGTTGGGAGATGGGCAGTCACAGTGGCTCAGCTAAGCCTGTGTAGGCTAAGATGGGCATCCACATGTAAGGGTGGCCTGGGGTAGGATGTCACAATCTAAGGACAGTGTTCCCGTGGACAGAAGGCCTAACTCTGGGTGTCAAGGAAAGGTGAGGAAAGGTTCCACAAGGATGGGTAGCAGAACAGGGAATAAGAACCCAAGAATGATGGAAAGGGTATCCAAGTTGGTGAACCAGTGATAATTCAGCATGGAGAGATAGAGCCTACACTCCATGAAAAGGGAATCCATAAAAGAGAGAATGGTTATGGTGACAGAAGTTTGGTTACATACAAAAGGACTGATCAAATAAGTGAATATATTAAGGATAATGAGAGCCAGGTTCTGCAGTGTTAGAAAAGGAAAGGGAAATAAACTAGAGTGAATCCTGTGGTGTAGATTTGAAATGGAATTGTCAATGTAAACTCATGGA